AATCTGACCGGCAGATCGAAAAGTTTACCCGTGGGCCTATTTGTGGTCTTAAGCGCCCCCCTCCTTATTATGAGTGATTTCGAACCAGCCCTGATGAATGTTCTGAAAGTTGAAGTAAGTGATTCACAGTTTTTGTCACGATGATTTGCATTAGAATTTTCTTTTATTAGTTCGAGAAGGTAAACCACTCATCGTGTTATTTTCATTTTACTCAAGCGATCTATCGCAATATACAACGACTTGGTTTATCTTCGAGCTACAATAACGGCGAAAGCGTGAAACATTTCTGTCGCCAATTGATGGCTCTTCCATTATTGCCCGAACCGGTAATTGAAGATACATACGATGCATTAATTCACAACCTATCACCAACGGTAAAACGAACAGTTGATGGCTTATTAAACTATTTTCAAGACCAATGATTTGTCAAAGTTCCTCCTGTACAGTGGTGTGTCTATGGATTAGCAATGAGAAAGAATAATAATGCTGAAGGCATACATTACAATCTACGGCTTGTTTTATCAAGTATTAGATGCTTGTATGTTTTTCAGCCTCCCACAGTCGCTTCAATCGTCGTTATAAGAGCTTGCTCGTGTTTCCTTCACTGTTTGCGAGATCGACGAGAGATTTCGAGTCTCAAACGATCTACATCAGCAATCACTGTCTAACCGATCTCGCGATCACGAAAACCTCTTCGAACGGCGTAAGCTACTTAACCCCAATCAGACAAACATAAAGATAATGAAGCAGCTTTTAACCATTCAAATTAAAACCGCGATCAACCAAGGGATGGATTGAGGTCTCAAAACCGTTTTTCCTCACAGACGGAGAGGCAGTGAAGTCGAAATTATGTCGAAAACATGAAAACTAAACCTGCAAACAAATTAAAATGGATTCCTGTGGATGCTGCCAATGCTATTTCTGATTTTCCAAAAATGAATTTCAGATGATTTACAAGAGTTGACACTCGGACTGTGTCAACTTAAACCGGCCCGCTCTTATACGACCGAACATGTTTCTTCTGATGAATCGGTCATGGTTAAAGTTGCGAATGAGCGCCGAGATCTGATTCGAGCTCAGATTCAGTCAAGGCATAAAAATGGAACAAAATATGACGTCTATGTGCGATACAACAAGAAAAATCTATCAGGTTGGTATTGCACATGCCCCAATGGTTCTAGGGTGGTGGGCAGTTGTGCACATATTGCATCAATAATTTATTACGTCGGATATGCCAGATATAATCCAGAACAATTACAACAGAGAGCATCCGATTATTATAATAGCATAACAGATGCTCAAGGCTATTCAGAATCGTCGGATACTGATTCAGAGAATAGTGATGATGATAATTCCAATATACTTTATTCATTGATTTGATCTGATTGCGTCATTTTTACCGAACTTTCGACTATGCTATCGCTTCTTTATTACTAACTAATTAAGCATCGATTTTTTCTCCCACTCTATATACTGAAACGGACTAAAAAAATAGTGAAACTTAAAGAAAAAGCAAAAAAAAAACCTACTCAGACCCAGCAGATCGGGCTCTTCGTGTCGTCTGGGATCAGCACTGCTCTACTGCTGTAGTGACTAACAGATCTGCCCCAAATTGCTTCAGATGAAGAGAGAATTCAAAAAGATGTATATTTACAATATTTAACATCGAAAAAAAATTGATTTGGTCGATAAAGTACACTGAAAAAATGAAAATAACCTGATTTTATCAGATTTTTTCCCACTTTCACTATTTTCCGTAACCTTTTCTTAAGTTGCAAGGTCATATTCGGATAGAGCATGAAAAACTACGTCGATCTGTATATATAACTAATTGGATCAAAAACTCGTCATAAAAAAAATTGGCCTACATGGAGAACAATATACGCCGTTTTTCCTCCTTTTTTCAGTTTTTAGCCAAATAAACTGGAATTATACGCCTGTTGAGTCCTCAATCTGTTTGGAATTGATGGAACAATCGTGTCTAGATATATATAAAGTATTATTGCTATTATAAACTGATTTTTAGGGTTGGAAGACAGTGATTTCTGAACAAAGGTAAAAAATTTACCTTTGTCAGAAGAGGCAGTTTTTTCATTCAAATCACATTTTCATGCAAAACAAACCTTATATTCGTGATCAGCGTGGTCGATAACCTATATCTAGACGAAATTAGAGTGAAAAACAAAAAACAAAATCTTTTTTCCCTCCAGGGTAAAAAATTTAAAAAAAATAAAAAGTTATTTTTTTTCAAAAAACAACATACCGTTTTGTTCAGAATTTAATGCTGATTCTAACCATATAGTTTTTTTCCCTGAATGCTTTGGGCGAAAAAATGACCTTACTGCCACTTGTTCTTTAGCATTGTTTTGCTACTTATGGCCCACCCTGTAGTTTGTAACAGCAATTTATGTACGGCGAGCAAGTGGTAAAAGCACAAACTTCTTCATTGGCCAAAATATTGAACAAACGCAACTGTGAACTATGTCGCCCCATCAGAACGAGGTAAACAATGCTCAATGCTGCACGAAAACTTTATTTTTGGATAGAAAATTGAACAAATGGGTTTAGGACAGGGATTTTCTTGGAAACGTCATTCAGTAATAATAAAACAGTACTTTCTCAACGGTATTGGTTATTTCCTGAGCTATAGAAAGGATCATATGAAATAGAAAACCAAACTTTAGTTGATGTATAAAAAACTTCGTAAGTCATGGCTAAGTATAAATGGATTTTACGAATTTTTCTAAAATTCTCATAATCTGAATGTTGCTGCAATCATTAGATGATCGGAAGGATGTGTTTCATCAGGATAAGATTCACCAGTAGGATGATCAGGTAATTTCAACACTTTTTCTACTGTTAGATCACCAACAAAAAATATGTAATCTAAAGTAGCACAAAAATTTCGTGACTTTGTTGTATCAGAATAATTTGTATAATTAGGTTCTGATCCATTCTTTTCTCGATAAGCACTTTTTAATACTTGTTCTGTATTTGGTCGATAAGATATTTCATAGTTATTATATTTTGGATAATTACTGTCAATATAACCTTTTTTTGTTAAAGCTTGATAACATGTATCCCATGGTTTAAGATTGAAATCACCTGCTAGAATAAAATCTTGTCCAGCTGATATTTGAAACATCAAATCTTTTACAATCGATGAATGTATTGCCATTACATCAGGCTGTTCATAAAGACAAGGCATGTGATATGTACCAACATATAATGGTTTACCATCGATTACAAGTTGTAAACAGATGAGGGTATTGCTTCTATCCATGGCTATTTTCCATGGATCAGATGCGAGTTGTATGAATTTACTTAAAGCAGATTGACAGAAATTCCATTCCCATGTAAAGAGATTCGTCCGTTTTTCATGATGTTTACTAATTGATCGTATATGTTCTCCAATTTTAATGAAAGAAATGGAATTGAGTTGCATCGAAACAGGAATTGCCATACCTATACCTATATAATCATTCCATTTTTCACCATAAAGATTATGAAAGAGACTATAATTCAACGAACGAAACAATAATTCAAGTTTGGGTAACATCGAAAGAGATAATTCTTGTAAACATATAACTGTATTTTCATGATGGGTAATTTCTTCTTCTATTTGAGCTTGAATCAGATTCCGTCGATAGTCAGTTTTAAGAAACTGAGGTTGACACTTGAAGTAAAACTTTGGTCGATCAGCATAGACAGGTACCAACAAATTGTATGACACGATTCGGACAGTCATACAAGCGTTATATAAGTATGTTCCTTTTGAAAAATGAAAAAAATAGGAATATGCCATGGACAAATGCATCTTATATAGCAAAGGAAGAATAAAGTTTAATGACGAAACGCAAGGAACAGAATTTTCACGAATGGAGAAATTATACGAGAGCAAGAAAAAATATCACGTGTATACATTGACGCACGATGACGAAGAGAAAATTGAAGCTTTTCGACAAAAATCTTTTTTTTTCGAAGAAAAGCTCATAAGTTGAAAATACAAAGATTTGCATCCTCGTCACAGAGGTTAGTTGAGGAATTTCCCAAGCAAACAAAATTTCTAGGCAACGCGCTAAAACACATAGAAAAAGGCCGGAAATGCAAGAAATATGGAAGTGTATCGCTGACAATCGCGGTCCTCGACTTGAAGGTGAAAACGCCCAACCGCGCATTTAGACTGAAAACGGGTCTAAACAGCCTAAAAACAAATAACAGTTTCTATCGTGCATTTTACGAAATGACATAAATTCAGTCAAAACATTAAAAAAAAACTTTAGAAAAACGGAAAAATAATAAAACTGATAGTCTTTGAAACAATACGATTGTTTCCATCGAGAAATTTCTCCAGTCGAGAAATCCAGCACCGCTCGTCTCCAGTTTTAGTCAACAATCTTCTAGATATAGGATGTTTCCCCAGCAAAGTACTTGAGGTTCTTTTATGAAAACAATCGTATTCTTTCAAAGATTATCAGATTCTAATACTTTTACGTGTTTCCAAAGTTTTCTTTAACTTTCTGACTGAATTAACCTCATTTCGTAAAACGTTTCTCAGACGCACTCGTAACGCACTGACTAATAACAGCCCTTCGACGGAATAAAACTCGGAGTATCTTGGCTTCCCGCGAGCCACACTCAACCCGGCAGACCGGCCAAAGATTTCCCAACGTCCGGTTTCCGATCTACGCCAGATAAACCGTACGGTACTCAAACGGCTTCCCGATAGTTCTTTTCGTCAGCCACATTCGCCTTATAACGTCTTCACCTGTCTACCGAAACCGAACATGATCATTACTTCTACTCAAAAGAATAGTCCTAACATTTGTGCAACATCGTGTTCCAAAATCCGCGAGGCGTTGAAACATAACTAATTTTATAAAATCTAATTTAAACCGCTATTGCGCGACTTTTAGAACACAAAAAACATATCAAAAAAAAAGATACTACTGATAACATCGGGTCGATTGCACAACTTCAGTGGTTGTACAGAATATAGTATATTCTTATCTTTGGCTAAAATAAATCAATCTGAATCTAGAAGCACGCATAGTTTCTTTTGTCGTGTGAAAGAAAAACGAACATGGCTTATTATGGGGTAATAATGATCATGTTCGTTTTCGGTAGACATGTGAAGAAGGCGAATGTGGCTAACGCAAAGAACTGTCGAAAAGCCTTTTGAGTATCATACAGTTTATCCGTTACTCATAAGAATAGTTCTAACATTTGTGCAACATCGTGTATCAAAATCAGTGAGGCGTTGAAACATAACTTATTTTACAAAGTCTCATTTAAGCTGCTATTGCGTGACTTTTAGAACACAAAAAACATATCAGAAAAAAAAGATACTACTGATAACATCGAGTCGATTGCACAACTTCAGTGGTTGTACAGAATATAGTATATTCTTATCTTTGGCTAAAATAAATCAATCTGAATCTAGAAGCACGCATAGTTTCTTTTGTCGTGTGAAAGAAAAACGAACATGGCTTTGTCTGGAACCTATTCTGAATTGCTTAATAAGCCAGATATCGATCGCAAAAGGCGATATTATCGACGACAAAACGCCCTTGACAGCAGAAACGTAGCATACATCAAACGCTCTGAGAGTCAGTGTTGAGTTTGAGTGCAGCAAATGTGGTTCTTAGAGAAAGAACAAAATGGCAAATAATTCCATTTTCTTAGCGTTCAAACAGTGACCGTGTTCTGTGAACTATGGTATGCGTACAGTCACAACAATGGAAGACGGTCCAAATACATGGATGACGAGAACTCTGAAACAACTATGTGGAACAAACTGGAACACTGTTACAAGTGCTTCCTCGAAACCAATTTCATTTCGTGGGAAAAGATATCACATACGATGTTTGTCAACAATACTTCTCACAGAGTAATAATCGGGCCACAACACGCAATCTTTACCACAATGAGCTAGATCATCCAGCCGTAGAAGAAACATTTCTACTTAATCTTGTCAATATAAATGTTGTTTTTGTTTCTAAAAAACTCCCCGGTACAGTCCCGCACAAAAAAAGAAAACAAAGGTCTTCAATGTGTCTGTCGAGAAGCCCGGAACACTCCCGTTCTGCACGCAATAGCAGCTTAAATGAGACTTTGTAAAATAAGTTATGTTTCAACGCCTCACTGATTTTGATACACGATGTTGCACAAATGTTAGAACTATTCTTATGAGTAACGGATAAACTGTATGATACTCAAAAGGCTTTTCGACAGTTCTTTGCGTTAGCCACATTCGCCTTCTTCACATGTCTACCGAAAACGAACATGATCATTATTTTCTACGAAATCACTTTCTTTCTTTTCGATTACACATCGAGAACGGGACTGTTCCGGGCTTCTCGACCAACACAATGAAGATTTTGTTTTCTTTCTTTTACGCGGGACTGTACCGCAGAGTTTTATAGAAACGAAAACAACATTTATATTGACAATAAGAAATAGAAATGTTTCTTCTACAGCTGGATGATCAAGCTCATTGTTTATTAATTTATTCTCTGAACACGATAAAAGATCTGTTAAATACTCGTCAAAACAAAGAATTGTTGATCTTTTGAAAAGCTTGAAGACATTTATTTTAGATAACAATGACAAGTAAACAACAAATTCTTTTACTTCCACCAGGTTTAACAGATTTTTCAATTGAAAAACATCTTCTATCATCAACTCCATACGAACTTGTTGTTGTTTCTGATGTAGCAAACCTTGCCTCATATGTTTCAAATCCACTTGTAATTGCTGTTATCACTAGCCGTGTGCCAATTACATCCGAAATTATTCAATGTATTTCACCCTCTTGTCGTGTTATAACTCGGTTGGGAGTTGGTTTCGACTTACTTGATATCAAAGCATGTCTTCAACGTAATATTATCGCTTGTTATGTACCTGATTATGGTACAAATGAGGTTGCTGATCATGCTGTTGCTCTTCTTTTTGCTGCTCATCGTCGTTTATCATTATTTCATCGATCAATTGTTGAAAAAAAGATTTGGAATTTTCAAATTACTGGTACTAATTTACAAAGTTTAAATACATTGAATTTGGGTGTTATTGGTATGGGTCGTATTGGATCATGTTTTGCTACTAAAATGCGCCCATTTGTTAAACAAATATTTTCTTATGATCCATTAGTACCTTCGAATTGTACTTCAACTGATGAAATTTTTGAAAATTGTGATATTATTTCACTTCATATTCCACTTACACCAGCGAATTATCATTTAATATCATCAAATTCAATTAATTGTATGAAACGACGACCAATTTTAATAAATACTAGTCGAGGAGCAATAGTTGATACTCAAGCACTCATAGAAGCTTTAAAAAATGGACAAATATCTTATGCTGCACTTGATGTACTCGAAAATGAACCAGAAATTGATTCAGAATTAATTAAACTTGATCGAATTCAATTAACACCACATGTGGCTTGGTATACTCAACAATCAGAATTAGCTTTACGTACAAAAGCAATTCAAGATATATTACGTGTTATGAATGGTGAACAACCACTTTATCCTGTACCTATTCAAGATTAATAGACTCATTACAAGTAATGCTCGTCTGTGGACTCGTTTAGCTCTTTCTCGTAGAAATTCTATCTCTGAACTATGAGCACACTATTTACTGATACAATTTCAAAATACTTACTTTCGATTTGAACTCTTCGACCTTGATAACCTCTAATAAACTCCGATAAAAACTTCAAAAAATCTCAAAATAAATGCGAATGGATTGAAACCCGAGAGTTATATGTGCTGCAAAAAGTAAAGCGGGCGGTAATTTGCTTTTGATCAAACTGTCTAAAAGAATCGACTGGTAGTAATACTATATCGGGAAGTGTCATATAAGGTGGAGATAATTCAAAACTCGAGCGATTTTTATTTTTCGGCATGGTTCGATGCAACTCGACGCGCTGAATCGGAATATGTGGGTTATATTCTCAAAAAACGTCAAAAACCTAAGATATGAAAAAAGTATCATTTTAGAGAAAACTACTCGGGAATACGTTACAAAAATTTTGCATAGCTTTGGAACGCTTTCCTTCTTAATCTCGATGAAAAAGTGACTATTAAAATGTGGTTGCCGATCACCGAGCGCCAGTGAGTACATTTGGGAACAACAACTGGGAAAAGCGCTGTCTCTAGAGGTGACACTTTACCGTTACTTTAACAGTAACTAACGAGGGAGGTCCCCGAAGTGTCATAACATGATTTTAGTTCAGTTACTCATTTAGCTGATGCACAAAAATGTACTCGGTCAGCCCAACGTTTTTGACCCCTCGCGGCCGGGAAATGCCAAATGGCACTAGGTTGGTATTGACACCAATGTCACTTCTCTAGTCCTGAAAATTTATTCTAGTCAGCCCTATGACTGAAGGATACACTTTCAATCTGCCTGTTTCTCGGAGGGTCCATCCAGAAAAATTCTTGCATTTTCGCGATTGATCCCCCTGTGATTGCATCAATCATTTTTCAGCTGTGGTAGATCCGGAAGGGCTAATATTTTGGATGCTATATCAGAATTCCTCAACGTGTTTTTCAGAATACTTAAATACTTATATCGTTCGAATCGAATATTAAATATCGTTTTCTTCTCATCGCTCACAGGCTAGAGATGAGATATTTCGAGGACACCCTCAGACCTCACAATATTCCATCAAATCGGCCATCGATTCCATGAAACCACTCAAGCCCAAAGAGCTCCTGACACGTGTGACGAATCTCTGTGATCTCCTGCGTCAGAATACGCTCTGGCAGATGTCAACAGCCCTCTGAGCTCGAGTGGTTTCATGGAATCGATAACCGATTTGATGGAAAATCGTGAATTCTAAGGGTATTCTCGGAATATCTCATCTCTAGCCTGTGAGCGATGAGAAGAAAACGATAGATTAACTTCGAACCAACGTAGACTCGATAAAAGAACCGCAAAACACTGAGGTATGACAGAGAGAAACAAGTCAGTTAGCCCACACTTTCTGCCCATCGCGGCCCGGAAGTGCCAAATGCCACTATTGCTATAGTTTCCTATCCTTCGTAACTGATTCGTCCTTGGTGACAACGCACGAAAATCGTCTTCTATTATAGTATATTCTTATCTTTGGCTAAAATAAATCAATCTGAATCTAGAAGCACGCATAGTTTCTTTTGTCGTGTGAAAGAAAAACGAACATGGCTTTGTCTGGAACCTATTCTGAATTGCTTAATAAGCCAGATATCGATCGCAAAAGGCGATATTATCGACGACAAAACGCCCTTGACAGCAGAAACGTAGCATACATCAAACGCTCTGAGAGTCAGTGTTGAGTTTGAGTGCAGCAAATGTGGTTCTTAGAGAAAGAACAAAATGGCAAATAATTCCATTTTCTTAGCGTTCAAACAGTGACCGTGTTCTGTGAACTATGGTATGCGTACAGTCACAACAATGGAAGACGGTCCAAATACATGGATGACGAGAAATCTGAAACAACTATGTGGAACAAACTGGAACACTGTTACAAGTGCTTCCTCGAAACCAATTTCATTTCGTGGGAAAAGATATCATATACGATGTTTGTCAACAATACTTCTCACAGAGTAATAATCGAGCCACAGCACGCAATCTTTACTACAATGAGCTTGATCATCCAGCTGTAGAAGAAACATTTCTATTTCTTATTGTCAATATAAATGTTGTTTTCGTTTCTATAAAACTCTGCGGTACAGTCCCGCGTAAAAGAAAGAAAACAAAATCTTC